CTCTCGAAGACAGGTCTGCTCAGCGCGGCGGAAAGGAAAGAACTGGCGGGATGTCCGTGCCTGCCCTTCTGGGCATGCTCACTGGGGCTCCTGAGCATGCTCAGTTGGGTCAGGCACGAAAATCCTTTTTAAAGAGCTTGCTAGGCACCGGCAGATCCAGTGCAGGCGCACTAGATCCCATTGGTGTGAAGCACAGAGACCACGAAGAAGATAAACAGGTTGCACTTTGAGTTGTGTCTGGTGGCAAAGACGTCGACATGAGGCATGCCCCACTTTCGAAACATGGGACGTAGGCAGGCCCAGTTCAGTTCCCAATCGTGACGCTGGGAGAGACCAGCGCATGCCTGGAGGAGTGGCGTGAAGATCCCTTTGTGAGCTTTGCATACCACTGATTCGGATCAGCGCAGGCGCATAATCCCACGAAGAAGATCTAGGCACCATTTAAACTTTGGTTTTACTAATGCTGGGGCGAAGCTCCGCTCAAGTGCATATTGCCAACGGTTAAAAATTTAAAAAATGGTGGGCGAAAAGCGGAAGCTTTCGAGCAGGGAACAGGAAGTGCCTCTACACCGGTGGAGGAGCGATCACACAGGGGGGAAATGTGGCTGGAACCAGAGAAGCAGGAAAACACCACTTGGGGACCTGGTATCAAAATACTCCACTTTATAGGGGGGTTGTGCTGGAAAGCGATGGCTGGGGACGGGAGGCAGATGTTGACCGTGTGATCGCGCATAAATAGTCCGTTTCTAACCAGCACGTATACCAGCTCCAATGGCCCGTCTGAACGCACCCCAAGAGTGTTTTACTGTGCTGCCTTCCTATGCCCCTAGTGGCTGCAGTCAGAACTGCATCATATTTTTTAAAGCATTCCATTAATGCAGCACAATGTTGGCCCACCAACTGACCCCCCCCCCACTGTTTTTTGTCCCCTCAGTCCCCCTCTCTTGGCAGTCCTGAGTTCATATGGTTGTGCTGTTTCCTAAATCTCTGTAGGCTGACTGCCTTTGGAATCGGTTGTAAAGGATCTGCCTCCTGAGGCAACAGCACCCACCTTTCTGTCTAGTACATTTCTATCCTGTCAGTTCTCTAAGGAGTTCAGGATGGCATACATGGCTCTTCCCTACCGAGTGTATCCTCACAACGACCCTGTGAGATACGTTAGGCTGAAAGAGAGTGATTGGCTTCCCAGTGAGTCTCAGCCTCAGGGAAGAATAGAGATTTGAGATCCCGGATAGCTGTTCTAACCTTTAAACCATACTGGCTCCCTGACAGCCTTGGAAAACCTGTTGCATTATATTTTCCTGGCCTGCTCAACTTGAATCCCAAAGACTGGAGAGGGGTCTGATTTGGTGTGAGTCACATGGATCCTGACCTTTTCAACAGGCATTTTTTTTAACTTTGGTGCTCCTCACCAGCTGCAGGGTTCCACTTGCAGGTCTGATCACCTTTTAGATGCTCCCCACACCCTCCTTGCAGTTACATTCGCTCAGGACTCAGATTATAATTGAATGTGTCATGGCAAACCTTCAGAAAATAGTTGAAAAACTGTAAAGTCTCAAGTCTCATGAAGCAATCGTGTTGCAAATGATTGCTACAGAGAGAAAAAATAGTGAAAAGGTAATCTGTTTGGGGTGGAAGAATCCTGTTGTTTCAGGTGGAAGAAACCTGTGAATCCATTCTCAAGCTCATATCAGTTTCATATCACTTTAGCCATCATGAATGGTTTTAAAACAGACATTATGTGAGTTTTGCGTTTGGGATTTTACTTTGGCCTAAATACAGCAACATGCAAGCTTTTACCATTATTGTCTGCGCTCAGACTATCTTGGGAATTGTAGTTCAGTGAAGTGCAGAGGGTTTATTGGTCCACAGAATTCTCTGTTGCCTAGAGATGTCCTTTGATTCAGAGTGCAGGCCCACAGAATCATTCCACATCTGTGTCAGTTGGGGATTTCATTATTTGCTGGCGCCACCCTGTGATAGAAAAGGGTATGGGTATGCTGAAAATGAAATAAATTGGAGGCTGGTCCAAAACAAAATTCTAAAACAAAAGTTTTTGTGCTGGCAGTCAGAAGCAGCCATTGCGCTTCCTTCTTCCCCAAGGCCAAAACTGCAACCTGACAGCAGCCCTACTTTACCTATTAAAATTAGACGTCATCCTACACACGCTGCAACAAGAGGATTTAAGAACATGGCCTGAAACATTTTCTCCCTCCTCCCCTTCCCCCTCTTCTTTGGTCCTTTAAAAAAAAAAAAAGAATTGAACATTCAGCTTGATGAAGAGTTCTGGAGAACTCAAAAGGCCACACTACTTTGGATATTTTC